CAGGCACAGTGGCCTGCGCCTGCTTACCCAGTACTTCAGAGGCCAGGCAGGAGGACTGGCTTGATGGCCAGGAATTTGAGTAAAGTTCAGGTGGAAGAACACTTATTGTTTAAACTGAAGAACAAAATCTTTTATTTTTATAGGAATTTTTCTTCTTGAATATCCAATGTTGCTGGCAAGCATTATACACTTCCAGAGTTGCTCATTGTCCTTAAAAGAGTGAGGTATAGTATTCTGATCCCATTTTCCATAATAAGAGATTTATGTTATTTGTGACAGGGATGATCCATATGAATCAGTGTTTCATATCTTGAGGGACAGATCTGCCATTAGAGACCGATGAGGGTGGTGGAATTTTAGAGGTGGTAATCACTCAGCAAAGAGTGGTGGAGACCGGACTGACTTTATGAGGGATGGAGTTGCAGAGAGGAACTGCCTGATAAAGTGTGGGGTAAGAAAGGACCAGGAGAGGGCTCTGAGCTCCTGCAGCAGGACTTTGGGCATAGTAGTGAGGTTGAGTGATGAAACTGAAGCAGGATGGGACTTATATTGGGGGTTTGCCATCAGGCAGGATTGTTTAGATGGGAGTCATAGGTCTCAAGGTCTCTGTCTCCTCAGGTCGGAGTCCTCTGAAGAACCAGAGGTGAGGATATAGTGATCTACTCCTCAGCCTTCTTGGGAAGCACAACACCATCACCATGGACATCCTGGCCAATACCTACAAGCAGTGGTCTATGGCTCAGTTAAAGGAGCAGCCTGGCCACTGTAAGGAAGCCGTGCATGCACCCTCCCTGTCCTGTGCCTCCACCCCGGGCCCTGGGAGCGAGCATGGTGCAGCTCAGCTTCTCTCAAACTCACTTCCCAGTGTGTTCCCCAGTTTGGGCTGACTGTGGTTTGGGCCAAGCCTCTGGAAATTTTCAGGGCCTAGAGATTAAGTAAGGAGCAGATATTCCCTTGAGTGCCCAGCTACCACTGTGTCCATTCAGGACAAAATGAGTCCCTTGCCCTTTTGTTCTCATGGAGTGACACTCAGCTCCACCAGAGCCCACCTTAGAGGGGCTTAAGAATCACCTGCAAATGGGCAAGCCTCTTCGAGACATTATGTGTGTGTGTGGGTCCAAGGTCTCCCCACTATTAATCCATACTCTTACGATAAAATTTCTTGTTCAGAATGGAATTTAGGCAAGACATAAAGCCATTTGGGAAAGCATATTGGGTATTCCCAATAGGTGGCTTTCATGGCAGGTTATGTATAGTTAAAGGTTGTGCATGGCTCAAGTTCCACTGCCTGCCAAGCAATACACTTGTGGGGCCACATCTGCCTGTGACAAGGCACAAGAGGCAAATTAGAATGGACTTGCTAAGTTTAGTTGGGGAATTATTCACATGCAGTAAAGGCATTGTATAATATTTCTTTATATCTTAGTACCATTCTTGTAGTAAACAAACAAAAGAACACCATAACCACCTACCCATCTCCAGCACCCTTCCCAAACATAGCCACAGCTTTGTTTTTCGCTGAGTTGTAATTTGGAAGTTTCTGTTCCCATCCACCAGGTTGGCAGGAATTTAATCATGCATATTTGAGCCTTGGTCCTCGGGAGCTGGCACAGGAGCCCTGAGGAGGTGGAGGGGTTTCAGCAGTCATGGTGGATCTGGGTGAGGCCATCTCGAGCTTACGGTCACACCAAGTGGAGTTATCACATCTTCACTCGGAGTGGCTCATTTGGGAACAGCAGGCAACTCAGAGCATCCATTCCCTAAACCTTCTAGATTTTCAATGTCCAGTCTCAACCAGCTGCCCTGCAGAGAATCACCACTTCCCCAAGCAGGGCCCCTGCCTCTGTCAGAGTTTTTAGGGAACCAGGCCCCAAAGAGCGCCTCCTGCATGTATCACCACACCCCAACAGTAGCACCCCTTATGTCCAGCACATTTTTAAGGTCACCGCAGCTGGGCTGCTTTCCTCCGACATCTTTTAGCTTTTTGGATGAATGATTAGGTCAAGACGCTATTCAGGTGTAGCTGGTTGCAAGCTATTGGAATGACCACAGGTGTTGTGAGCTACATTTCCAGCAGAGAGATATTTTAATGTGAAATATTTCTGTGCAAGTAAAACACAAAGTCAAACAGCAGACATTTGCTCTCATGGAAGTATTTTGGCATCATCACTGAGTTCTTTGCCCTGTGAGCAACAGTGGTAAGATGGGTAGATCAGTGTGTAAGAATTTGAAGAAAGAGGAAAGAGTTGCATGTAGGCTCCATTGTTTAGCACAGGTTTATTTCAGAGAAATACAAACCTGAGAGCAGTAGCTATTGAGTTAGGTATCAGAGCTACACTCTCTTACAGACTAAGAGTTTGAAAGATTCAGGTGGAGAGTTTATCAGAGGTGTGGACTGCTTCTGTGTCTTCTTTTGCTGGGCTTATCTGGGAGGAGAGTTGTGTGTCTGTTTCCGATTTTCCTGCTGCAGGCATATCCCCAAGTCTGTTTTCTTTTCTTAGCTTCCCTATCTTAGTGCACCTGAAGGAAAGGAATGTGCTTATTAAGGCCCACTGTTTATTGGGGTTTGTTTGGTGAGAGGGGTGAAGTTTGGCAGTCACCCAAGAGACTTTCCCCCACTCTCCCCTGTGCCCAAGCTGTTCATCTGGGTTTTTACCGTCTTGCTCTTTCTGGCCGCTCGTAGTTGTAGTTATAAAGCGATTTCTTGAAATGCATGGGAGGCTGTGGCAGGAGCTTAAACGGAAGTGGCGGTGTTTGTCCCTGGTGACGGGTGTTCTGTTTGTCAGGGTGTCTCTCACTTGTCTAAAGAGGCAAGAGTTTGAGTGTTCTGCAGAGGGGCCTTTCTTTTCCAGTAGTTCTTCTTGCAGAGTTCTTCATTCTGCAGAAATCTAGCTATCCTTCATGTCCGCAGAGCACAGTGAACAGTATTCTGCTTACGAGGAGTGAAGCTGGAGCCCAGAGAGGCTGAGCCACTGCCTACAGCCTCAATAGAAGGTAAATAGATATTATTTCAGCTTCAGACAATGTGAAGGCTCCAAACTAGGTAGGATAATGGGATTTAGTTCATTAGAATCTTTGTTGAGCAACTACTGTGCTTCTTTTTGAGAAATTAGAAGATAGCAGTGGAGTTAGCAAAGGCCAGCTTTTGATGAGCTTAAATGGTATTAGGCTGTGGTTACTTCTGAGAAGCAGACATTGGAGCTGACATCTGAGGATGACAGGAATTAGTCTTGGGGAAGTGTGAATCTAGGCAGATAGAGAACTGTGAAGGCAAAAAGGCCCTGGGGCAGGGAAAGCTTGTAAGAGACAGAAGGTGACAGTGGGGAATAGAATGAGTGAGCAGAATTACGCCATGGACCAGGTGGGGAAGGCAGCTGGGAGGCCAGACGGTGCAGTGTGGCCTTGCAGCTCCAGTAGCACTGGGTTTGGCCGAAGTGCGGAAGCCAAGGGAATGAGGCATCTGGTCTGTTCATTTATCTATCTATCTATCTATCTATCTATCTATCTATCTATCTATCTATCTCTATCTTCTATCTATCCATATCCACATTACATCCAACATATGAGACCCACGATCGATCTCCTTATGCTGCTCGAGGCTGGGAGTGAAGTAGTTATTCACAGGTGTGACTGCTAGCCACTGCAGCCTCAATTCCTGGGCATAAGCAATCCTCCCACTCTCAGCCTCTTGAGTGATTCTGGGACTCAAGTAGGGCGTGAAGGGAAGCCGGTAACCTTGCTCTATAGAAAGAGCATTTACATATTTTTGACAGAGTCTTGCTCTGTCACCCAGGCCAGGAGTGCAGTGGATCTCTTCTCACCGCAACTTCCACCTCCCATGTCTGGCAATTCTCCTGTCTCAGCCTCCTGAGTAGTTAGGATTACAGGCACATGCCACTGCACCCGGCTAATTTTTGTATTTTTAGTAGAGACGAATTTCACTGCACATGGTGGGGCTGGTCTCAAACTACTGACCTCAGCTGATCCACTTGCCCAGCCTCCCAGAGTGCTCACTCTATATTTTTGTTTGTTTGTTTATTTTTGGAGACGGAGTCTCGCTCTGTCAGCCCATGCTGGGAGTGCAGTGGCGCGATCTCTGCTCAATGCAAATATCCAGGTCCTGCCTGGAAGCAATTCTCTGCTTCAGCCTCCGGAGCTGGGACTACAGGCACGTGCCACCACGCGCCTGGCTAATTTTTTTGTATTTAGTAGAGGATGGGGTTTCACAATGCTTATCACAGATGTTATTCCATCTCCTGACCTCATGATCCACCCTCCTCAGCCTCCCAAAGTGCTGGGATTACAGACATGAGCCACTGCACCTGGCCATACTCTACATTGAGGACTTGAGGCTCTGTTTGTGCCCAGGCTGAGGCAGCATGAATTTCCTGGGCTCGAACATTTTTTTTTTTTTTTTTTTTTTTTTTTGAGACGGAGTCTTGCTCTGTGCCCCAGGCTGGAGTGCAGTGGCGCAATCTCGGCTCACTGCAAGCTCCGCCCCCCCGGGTTCACGCCTTTCTCCTGCCTCAGCCTCCCGAGTAACTGGGACTACAGGCGCCCGCCACCTCGCCCGGCTAATTTTCTTGTATTTTTAGTAGAGACGGGGTTTCACCGTGTTAGCCAGGATGGTCTCGATCTCCTGACCTCGTGATCCGCCCGTCTCGGCCTCCCAAAGTGCTGGGATTACAGGCTTGAGCCACCGCGCCCGGCCCATACTCTATATTTTTTAAAGATCCTATTTGCTGCTTGGTGAGACAGGGTGACAGGACAAGAATGGCAGCCAGAGGGCTGGGGTTGGTGCGGTAACGGACACCATTAGTGGAGATAGAGAGGAGGGCCACATCTAAGGTACAGCTCAGGTGGGCACTGCCCAGACGTGTGGGAAGGGAGCGGAGGGTTGGCCTGGTGCCTGCTGGGTGACACTGGATAACTGCTTGGCAGGTTCCGTGGCTCGGCACCCTCTTAGTCCCTCCTTCCTTCATCTCTTCCCTCGACTCTAGGTTATATCTTGGTTAAGCACAGAGATTTCCTGAAGGGTCCGCTCAAGAAGCAGGAGGTGGATTCAGCCCCACAGCTTCCCAAAGTGGACCTGCTGACGGTGCCTGCAGTCGACACACAGATGGAGGCGTGGCCCATGACCCTGGAGGAGATGGAGGAAGTAGGCAAGCGGTACCGCGAGCGGCAGCGACAGCACAAGGTACCTCGCCAGCCCAAGGAGGGCATGTGGCTTGGGGATGAGCAGCGGGGGTTCACATCACTGCAGTAGCATCACCCGCTGGCTGCAGAACCCTGGGGAGGGGGGTCTTCACCTCTACAACCACCCCTTCTTCACGTCCCTCACCTGTAAAATAAGAATACCTGCCTCCTGAGTTTTTGTGAAAATGCAGTAAGATCCTGTTTCTGAAAGTATCACGTCCCCCGTCCCTATTCTTTAATTATGACTTTTCATCCTGAGACTGGGCCTGCATTTTCATCACAGCTGGAATCCAGGCAGCTGGCACAGGGCCTGGCACTGGGTAGACTTTCCAGAAATATATGGCAAATGAAGGAAGGAAGGATTGATTGCATGAATTAGCTTGTCCAGTAAACATTTGTTGAGAGCCTACCATGTGCCAGGCACTCTTCTGGGCGTTGTAGTAAGCCTAAGAGTCCCTGCCCCTAGGAAGCTGACAGTCTAGTAAGGGAGGCAGACAACATCAATACAATACTACATATAAATATTCATATATAATATAGGCTTGGAGTGGTGTCTTGCACCTGTAAGCCCCGCGCCTTGAGAGGCCAAGGTACTGAGAGGACTGCTTGAGCCCAGGAGTTCGAGGCCATCCTAGGCAACATAGGGAGATCCTGTCTCTACAAAAAAATTAAAGTTAGCCTAGTGTGATGGCATGTGCCTGTGGTCCCAGCTACTCAAGAGGCTGAGGTGAGAGGATTGCCTGAGCCCAGACGGTTGAGACTGCAGTAAGCTAAGATCGCACCACTGCACTCCAGCCTAAGGGAAAGAGCAAGATCGTGTCTCAAAAAAAAAAAAGTATATACGGGCCAGGTGCAGTGGCTCACGCCTGTAATCCTAGCACTTTGGGAGGCCAAAGTAGGAGGATCACTGGAGGCCAGGAGTTTGAGACCAACCTGGGCAATATAGCAAGAACCCGTCTCTGCAAAAAGTTTTTAAAAAATTAGCCAGCATGGTGGCGTGTGCCTGTGGCTCCACCTACTGAAGAGGCTGAGGCCAGAGGATGGCTTGAACCTGGGAGGTCAAGGCTGCAGTGAGCTATCATTGCACAATGCACCCCAGCCCAGGCTACAAAGTGAGACCATGTCTCTAAAAATAATAATAATAATAATAATAATAAATTAATACAAATATATGTGTATAAAAAATTAAAAATGCACATTTCTGGTTATACCTACAATATTTGTATTTGTACATATAATAAAATGGCAGATATTGCTAAGTGCTAGATCTACTAAGATTTGATTCAGTTGCTTGACAAGAAAACCCAAAATGTTTGAGCAGGGACCATCAAAGTTCCCCTGTAAAGGGCCAGATAGTAAACATTTTAGGCCTGGTGGGCCATATGTTGTCTGTCGCAACTACTCAGCTCTGCTATTGCAGCAGGAAAGCAGCCACAGACAGCACCTTAACAAATAAGTGTGGCTGTGCTCCAACAAAACTTTATTTATAAAAACAGCTGGTGGGCCAGATTTGGCCCATGGGCTGGTCTTTGCTGATTCTGGTGTTAGAAGCTTTAAAAGATAGTTTTTTTTTTTTTTTCCTTGTTAAAAAACAAGGTGGTGGCAGCCAACAAAAGCAGCTACCTGCTCTGCCAGCCTCCTCCTATCTTAGCTTGTGGCTTTTACCTCAAGGTTACAGATGGTTGCTCCTAATTTAAATTCCCGTGCAGCCAAACACTCAAATGTCACTTTTCTTTTCTTCTCTTTTCTCCTCTTCTCTTCTTTTCTTTTTTTGAGACAGTCTCACTATACTGCCCAGGCTGGAGTGCAGTGACTTGATCTTGGCTCACAGAAGCCTCAACTTCCTAGGCTCAAGCCATCCTTCCACCTCAGCCTCCTGAGAAGCTGGGACTACAGGCATGCGCCACCATGCCCAGCTAATTTTTGCTTGTAGAAACAGGGTTTTGCCACATTGCCTAGACTGATCTCAGACTCCTGGGCTCAAGTTATCCTCCTGCCTCGGCCTCCCAAAGTGCTGGGATTACAGGTGTGAGCCACCTTGTGGCCTTGTGAATGTCATTTTTCAATAGGACACCTCTAGGGCATGTGTACTGTGTTTTACTGTATATGTTACACAATCATGTGTGCACACCTGCACACCCATCAACAGGGCTGTGACTTCAGAACCTGAGCTTCCGAACCTGAAGTCTTCACTGACTTCAGAACCGGAACTGCAGCCCCACTGGACATTGGTTGCCATCACCCCTCGTGGGGACCTCGCAGGGGAGAGGTCGATGAGGCACTGCATGTACCTTCTTCTGGCCAGGAGGAGGGACACAGGCAAGAGAAGGACAAGCCTCTTTCTGCTTCCTTCGCAGCTCATGATCCCCTCCATCCAGTACACGGAGCAGTGCCGCCTGGTGCGCTGTGGGAATCGGCACTTTGATGAGCACTGCCTCCCGTCCACCATCCACGGGGATATGAGGGAGCTCATTGACTCGACCCGCAGGCACAACTTTCTTGTCTACCTGCAATGCTGGAAGCTCTGTGAGTCCTATGGCCTCCCGCTGACGGAGGACATCCTCATGAAAGGTAAGGGCCTCGGTGGCTGGCCCTAGGAAGATGCCAAGGGAACCCCAGAGCTAGGGCGAGGGTGATGCCACCCAAGGCACCCATGCAACCATTCAAGCCACTGTAGTCTCTGGTGGTGACACTGGGAATAAGGCAGAGTGGGGGCGTGGAGGAGAAGAGGAGGAGCCCAGTCTGTTTTGCTGCTAGATGAGATTTCTAGAAGGCCTGGAGGTCTGGGTTCCACAACTGAGATTTGGAAGTCTGGATTCTGGAACCCTGATCTTGGTGAACCAAAAGCTCATCCTAGAGTAGAAAGCCCCAAGGACAGGAGTTCTGAGTGAGAAAGCCCTGAGGTTGAACATAAAGGAAGAGTTGTAATAGTGAAGAGGGAGATTTGATAGAAATGATAACTGCTATCGAAACAAAGCCTTTCTCTAGGCCAGGCTGTTGCTTGGTTCTTCTGCAACAAGCAGTGGGGTACAAATGCACCTGGAGACAGGACCTGCTGAAGCCCTGAGATTTCCACACTGCTTCTACCCTCTGCTTGGGTGGAGAATGCATTTTCATACATCCAAGCTGGTCTGAGCCCACTGTGTCTCTGAGGGGTGAGCACTTCTAATATGTGGGAGTGAAGAAGGGCCCAGCCCCAACATGACAATTTAGCAATGCCTGCATTCCAAACTCGTGAATTGGTGAATGTATAAATTTGTTTTGTTTTGTTTTGAAACGGAGTCTCACTCTGTTGCCCAGGCTGGAGTGTAGTGGTGCGATCTCAGCTCACTGCAACCTCCACCTTCCGGGTTCAAGCAATTCTCCTGCCTTGGCCTCCCGAGTAGCTGGGATTACAGGTGTGCACCACCATGCACAGCTAATTTTTGTGTTTTTAGTAGAGACAGGGTTTCACCATGTTGGCCAGGCCAGTCTTGAACTCCTGACCTCAGGTGATTCACCTGCCTTGGCCTCCGAAAGTGCTGGGATGACAGGCATGAGCCACCGCGCCCGGCCTGGAGAGTGTATAAATTTAATGGGCAGGATCTTCTCTGTGCTTTAAAAACATGAAGGAGCAAGCTGCACTTGGGGGCAGCGGTTTTCTCCTCTGGACCTCTGCCTAGGAAGGAACTTTGGCCATACTGGGAAATGTAGCTTTCTGAGAAAGGAACACGCCACACAGGCAGTGGTGTGACTTATGTGAGAACTAGACTTTACAGTCACAATTGATTATTACCGTCTTTTTCCCAAGAGGGAGGGAAACAAGTGCTGAATTTATAGGGCCTTGGGTCTTCTTAGATTAGTTTGCTAGGGCTCCCATAACAAAATACCAGTCTGTGGACTGGGCTGCTTCCACAATAGGAATTTATTTTTCACCATTCTGGAGGCTGGAGGTCCCAGATTGAGGTGCCATCAGGGCTGATTTCCAAGGCCTCTCTCCTTGGCTGGCAGATGGCTGCCTCCTTGCTGCCTCCACACAGTTTTTTCTCTGCACATGCACACCTGGTGTCTCTCTTGTGTGTCCACATTTTCTCTTATAAGGACGCCAGTCAAATTGGATTAGGACCCACCCATGGACAGCCTCATTTTAGCTTGATCATCTCCTTCAATACTTTATCTCCAGGCTGGGCACAGTGGTTCACCCCAATAATCCCAGTACTTTGGGAGACCAAGGCAGAAGGATAGCTTGATCCCAGGAGTTCAAGGCTGTAGTGAGCTATGATCATACCACTGTACTCCAGCCTGAGTGACAGAGCCAGACCCTGTCTGAAAAAAAAACAAAAAAACAAAAAAACACCAAAATCTCCAAATGAAGTCACATCCTTTTTTCCTTTTCCCCCCTCAATGGTCACATTCTAGCAGGGTGAGGTGGCTCGCGCCTATAATCCCAGCACTTTGGGAGGCCAAGGTGGGTGGATTGCTTGAGCCCAGGAGTTCGAGAACAGCCTGGGCAACATGGTAAAACCCCCATCTCTGCAAAAAATACAAACATTCATCAGGCATGGTGGCATGTACCTGTAATCTCAGCTACTCAGGAGGCTGAGGTAGGAGGATCGCTTGAGCCTGGGAGGTCAAAGTTGCAGTAAGCCGAGATCACACCACTGCACTCCAGCCTAGACGACAGAGCAAGACCCTTTCTGTCTCTCTCTCATACACGCACACATGCACACACACACACACATCACATTCTAAGGTATAAGGATTAGAATTACAACATATGAATTTTAGGGAGACACAATTTGGCCCATAACAAGTGTATACAGGAGAATGTGGTCAGAGGCTCTCAGGAACACAGGCAAGCAACTTCAGTGGTCATTGTCTCCTACGCGTGCTGCCTGGGCTGGGAGGGCAGAGACAGAAGGAGATCCTACAGTTCTGGATGCTGACTTTTCACCAAAACATCCCTCCTTCTTCCTTCCTTGGGGAGCCTCACCTTTTCGGATTATTTACGCCATGGTCTTACGCAGCGGTGGAGCTGCAGCTCTGTCTTCTGAAATGCAGGCCGGCTTGCCATGTGCCCCGGACCGCTCCTCTGGGTTAGGTCTTCCCCTGTGTGCCTCCTTTGTCCGTCCCCACCAGAACATCAAGCTCCCCCCGCCCTTTATTTTACTTTATTTTTTTGAGAGATGGGATCTTGCTTTGTTGCCCAGGCTGATCTCAAACTCCTGGGCTCAAGCGATCTTCCCACCTCAGCCTCCCAAAGTACTGGGATTACAGGAGTGAGCCACTGCATCCACCCCTGGCTTTCGCTAGCTGCTGGGTTCCTACCTGAGTGAGCTTCACCTCTCTGCAGGATCTCATGTTCACGGGCACACAGGAACATCCTGTGGGTAGGACTAGGCCCAAATCCATCTCTGACCACTGTCTTGGCCACTGGCTGTTGGGTATCTTTATGACAGAGGCCTGATCTCCTGTAGGCAGAGAGGCTCAAATATCAGGACTTCCAGCTCTGTGTTCTAGACTAGACCTTGGTGGCTCAGACTCCAGGCCTCAAGCTCAGGAGCCAGAATTCTAAACAAGGTCTCCCCCTCCCCTGTGAATATAACTTTATTGGCTTTCCACCCTGGTTTTGGTGATAATACTTGCTCATTTGAATTTTTTGAAAACATAAAAATCTAAATTCCACCAGCCTGACTTGGCCCTTGTGAACCTTTTAGTGACCATCCTTTCACAAATCTCTTTTTCTTTTCCATTTATAGAAAATTATTTATATAACTCATTTTTAAATCATACTTTAAAAAATCATGTGTACCTTTTGAAAATATTAATGTTACATATCTCCCCCTTCCCTCTCCTTCTTTCTCACCTCCACAGCCCCTTCCCAACCCCCAGATAGCCAACATTAACTAGCTGGAGTGTAACTTCCATCACTTTTTCTAGAACATGAACTTTCATGTGTTACCATCTTAAGACAAGCACTGCTCAATAGCTGCAGAAGGTGGAGACCCTGGCTCAGTATTTTTTATATTCAGCACATCTGAGAAAACTCTACCAAGGATCTCCATGAGATTAATTCAAGACAAGGAGAAAACTGCCACCAAACAAATCTAAGTGGGCCAGGCACAGTGGCTCATGCCTGTAATCCCAGCAGTTTGGGAGGCCGCGGCAGGTAGGATGGCTTGAGCCCAGGAGTTCCAGACCTGCCTAGGTAACATAGCAAGACCCCATCTCTACTAAAAATTTAAGAAATCAGCCAGGCATGGTGGTGCATGCCTGTGGCCCTGGCTACTCAGGAGGCTAAGGTAGGAGGGTCGCTTAAGCCCAGGAAGTTGAGGCTGCAGTGAGCCATGACCTGTACTTTAGCCTGGGTGACAGAGTGAGACCTTGCCTCAGAAAACCAAAACAAAACAGAAAATAGGTCTAAGTTAACCTCGTCAACTCTTGGTCAAATCCTCCTGCCTCCTGGGACAGCTCAGACCTCGTTGCACCCGGGCCTTCGGGGCTTTGTTGACCTGGTTATAAACAAGCCCCCCTCATCTGTAGTCCCCTGAGCCATACTGTCCCAAGGCCCCTTTCCTGGCATCACACTACAGCTATATGCACGTCACCACTGGGGCAGTGGTTCAAAGGACCCCTCTGCATGATTTTTGCAACTTCTAGTGAATCTACAACTATTCAACAACAAAAAGTTACTATATAGATAAGAAGAAAATGTCTTAAAAATGTGAATTAACAAAATAAAACAAAAACAAAAAACACCTCATCTGACCCCAGAGGCTCAGGGAGGGATGGGCAGTCTGGATTGATGGCTGCAGATGCTTCTCTTGCTGTCCACAGCCTTGCTGTACCCAGGAGACAAGATCATTTTCCAGATGGACAAAGTGCGCCCCATCCGGCAGCCAGGAGGCTACTACTCTGACTGGAAGGTCTTTTCTCCGAATCTGGCTCTGCTCCGGTCCCAGGGCCCCAGCAAGTCTAAGAGGAATGACAAGCTAAGTTTCGGACCCTCTTTCCCCCTGCCTTGGCCTTCTGCCCCATTGCTGTCCTTTCAGTGCAGGGGCTGGAGGCTGGCATACCTGGGATGCCATGCTGTGCTTGTGTCTGCATCCTAGGGCAGCATCCCCCAACCTGACTGCTCACTGCAGACTGACCAGTCCCGGGTCACCCTTGGCGTGTGTCTCAGGATCACGGCCTGCTGGCCTCAGCTCCCATACAGCCACCCTCCTGACCCCAGTCCTGCACAATTGCAAGGTTTCTGGAAAAGATGAAAAAGAGAGCCTTCTTAGAGAACATGGTTGGAGTGAGGGCCTTCACAAATCCCCAGCCAGGTGTCAGGGCCCTGCAGAGAACAGGGGGCCGCCCTTTCTCTGCCCTGCCCGCTTGCAGCGGACACACCCCTTCCCTGGCAAAAGGTGGGCTTGCAGCTCCTAGGAGGAGAAAGGAACGTTTCCCTGGGATCTGCTCCCAGCCCTTTTGAGAGACCAACCTGAGTCTTCTCTAAGAAAACGGCCTCCTTTGGCACTCCAAAGCCTGAGCTACCCAGATTTGAGTCAAGCAGCAGGTGACAGCCCATGGGCAGCATCAGTGGGTCACTGCAGATGAACAAGGCAGCATCCCCGCAGAGGGAGGGGCGCAGCATGGGCGGAGGAGAGCCCAGCTGGCCAGACACCATGAGGTGGGAGGGGCCTGAACCTGCCCCTGCCCCTAGACCCCTGCCAGCTGCCCACTGGGTGTGTGGCCAGAATGCCTGCAGTGGGACACAGCGGGGCCCTGTAGAGATCAGACAGGCCTCCGGTTAAATGGACAAGGCACTTCTCTGAGCCTCAGCATCTTCATGTGTAAAGAGGCCTAGTAGCTCCTACCATACACTATGAGGATCAGATAAGAAAGAGCGTCAACATCTTAGCAGTGACAGCACTCAATCAATGATTGTCGTTGTTTTACCTTGCTCTGGTTGGCGCATCTTCCAGTGAAGGAGTAGGCCCAGGCCTGCAGGTGGGTCCTGGCCATGACATGGGCTGTGACTTCCTTCCGGCCCTGGGTGGCCCAGGAAGTGACTGGGAACCCAGGAAGGAGATTTTGGTCCGTGCTTAGGTAGGCCATAGCTAATAAAGGATAAAGAGAGTTCTCTTACCTCAAGGAGAGACATTGACTGTATCTTGCTTCTTAGGGTTATGAAAGATTCTGAGGTCAGATGGAGGCTGGGTGGGAAAGAGTGTTGTGAACCATTAGCGATATCTGTCAGGCTCAGGGTTGGAGGGGGAGGGGGTTAGATTTCACCATCTTCGTCCTCAAGGCTGGGTTAAGCTCTGGAGTGGGGAGTGGGAGCCAGGGACCCCAAAAGGACTTGGGATTCGGCAGTGACTTGCTGAGCCTTCCTCATAACTACCCTGAGAGGTCTCTATTCTGGACCATGAGAAAACGAAGGATAAGAAAGGGGACATGACTTGCCCAGGTCACGTGGCTGGATTCTGAGGCTAGGTCCAGCTGACCCAAGCCCACTGTGTTCCCCTGGAGCATGGAGGCACAGAGTCAGGGTCCACCTCAGGTGGAAGACATTTTTCTTTCAGAGCTCTGGTTTGAGACTTAGAAACGGGCCCACCCCTGCGGCCCCAACCTACTCCCTAAAGCCCCATTGGCCTGGATTTCCACTCTCCTCACAAAATGCCTGTCTCTCCTCCACTAGGAAACCGCCAAAGAAAAGCAAGAAAGTGCACTTTAAGGAGTTTGAGGAATTTACCAGGTCTGTGGCAATCATCTAACTCCACAAGGAAGGAAGGTGGGAGGAGGCGCAGCTTCACCTGAGACAACTGGGACTCTGCGCTCCTGGCACAACAGCTGGGGCTCGGTGCCCTGGCCTGAGAGGCAGTAACGCAACACAGAGAGGGCCAGGAGGCATCGCTCTGGGGCTTTCCATGTGTCCACTCACTCAAATCCTCCCAACAGCCCTATGAAGTGACACTAAGCATATTCATTTTACACAGGAGGAAACTGAGGCAACAGAAAGGGCAAATATCATGCTCAGAGTCACAAATCTATGAAGTGGTGGAGTGCGGATCCGAACCCAGCTAGGGCAGCTCCAGGGGCCGTACTCCAAACACCACATTAAAATGCCTCCAGATAACAGATGTTGGCGCTTAAGGCTTTGAGTTTTAGAGGCATTGGACAGGGAGTGAAGCCTGTACTTGGCCACTTGCTCAGGGTACAACGGCCTCTCCAGGCCTCTGGGTCCTTACAGGTGAGGTCGATAGGGTAACAGGGCTGACCATATGGAACTGTGGGGAGGACTGAGGTGCTGAAGTGCTTGGCACAGGGCTAAATGTCCGCTTTGGTCACAGTTAGTGGGCTCTGCGATGAAGCCTCAGCCCTGGCCTGTCTGCCATGACAACCATCCCTGTGTCTTCTTGTTCTCCAGGAAGCTGAAGGTGAGGAGGTCCAGCAGTCTGCAGCAAACCCACCCCAATTCCTTCTGGCCGGGTCACCTTCTGGATAAGCTGCAGCTCTACTTGCCCACTGTGGCCACAGACCGGAGCCTGGCGCTCTTCAGTTGTGTTCAACACCAGCCCCATGTCTACCCAGCCACCTACCACCCTGACCACTGGTGGCCCCTTAGGAACAAGAACTACATGACCCGCGCCTATTATGATGCCGCCAAGGTGTACTACATCAACTAGAGCGCGCCAGGTGTTGCCGGGCCCAGCCTTCCTGGGCCAGGAGCCGGTGCAGCCAGCGGCCCAGAGTCCAGACACAAGAGGAGTGTCAAAGAGTCAGACTAAAGAAATCCTTTCAAAGAGGGATGGCCGGGGCCCAGTTCCCTCTAGACTCCAAGTGTCCAGTGTCTCAGAGGGTAGATGTGTCTAAGAAAGGACATACAGTTTTTGACTATTTCCCTCCCCTGACCTCTGCCCTTTCTAAATAAAGCAGGTTGGAGTTTTTCTCACGTCACCTATGACCCAGCTAATGTGATTTCTTGCTCAGGAGCTGTGGCCAGGGGGGAAAACTTGAGCCTGGGGGAATACAGGCACATTCCCTGGGCTATTCCAAGGATGACTGCAGGCCACCTTCAGCCTCTTGTCCTGGGACCCCAGTGCCCACAGGGAAGCAGTGTGGGTACCCCTGTGCTCTCCTCTGTGAGGTGAGGTGGCAGCATGTCCCGTACCCCACAAAGACTGAGCCATCAGGTTACTGCTTCCAAATCTCTTGGGTCTTTGGAAACTGAAGGCGGGCTGTCTGGTTCATGAACCCTCCCAGTCGATGAACCCACTTGAACCGATCAAGACCTTTTTTTTCATGACACGCATCATGCAGGCTGCCATTAGCAGTGTGCTTCCCTGCTCCACATCCCATCTCACTACATACAGCATGCACGATAAGCACGATTCATGAGGTGTGGAATAGCCACAGATGCAGCAGGCTTCTAGCCCCAACACTACGGCTTGCCAGCTATGTGACCTCAGACATTCCACTTTTCTGGGTCTCCTCAAACTCCCCATTCCCTTCACGCCCAAAACCTCACCATGGAATTACTAACACACCCTTCTCACCCCTCTCTCATTCACTCATCAATACAATCCAGTTTAACTTCTGGCCCCTTCGGATCCCTGGAACTACCCCTGTCAAGATCGCCAGTGACATCTGTACTGTGTTCCAGGAGTGGAATCTAGGAGGTTTTTTTTTTTTTTTGCTCCTGAAATTTGATTTTCAAAATAATCTTAAAACAAAAGCCAAGGGCTAGGCGCGGTGGCTCACGCCTGTAATCCCAGCATTTTGGGAGGCCAGGGCGGGCAGATCGCCTGAGGTCAGGAGTTTGAGACCACGGTGACCAACATAGTGAGACCCCTGTCTCTACTAAAAATAAAAAAATTAGTCGGGCGTGGTGGCGCACACCCGTAATCCCAGCTACTACGGAGCCTGAGACAGGAGAATCACTTGGCCCCGGAACCTGGGAGGTGGAGGTTGCAGTGAGCCGAGATCATGCCACTCCATTGCACTCCAGCCTGGGCAACAGAGTAAGATTCCGTCTCAAAAAAAAAAAAAAAAAAAAAAAACTAGGCAAATCAAGAACAAGTTTAAAAGTTAGACAGTAGCTGGGCACAGCTACTTGGGAGGCTGAGGCGAGGACAAGAAAATCACTGAAGACCGGAAGTTGGAGACCAACCTGGCCAACACAATGAAACCATGGCTCTACGCAACAACCAACAGAACAAAACAAGGTAGTTTAGAATAATGGTTAGAAGCGTGGAGCCTGGAGTAAAATCTCCAAAATTCTCCTTTCACATATGCAAAATAGAGACAATAATAGGGGTACATTATAGAATTGTGGTAGGCCTATGAACCCCATCGCATGTTAGCAGTTCCAGTCTTATTACTATGTACTATGTAAATTCAGTGAGGGAATTTTGGGAAATCTGTCTTGTTCTCTCTTGACCACTAGGAGGTGCACTTCGGAGTAGAAGAAACACGACCGGAAATAGCCCAAACGCTAGATTGGCTTCAACTTCTGGCGGAAGTAGATTCCTCCCTACACCAAGTGTTAACTCAGAAAGAATTCCAAATTTCTACCTAGTGCCAGGGGCAGGGAGGATACATTTTCCTTTATACTCTTAGATGTTAATCTCTATTAAAACAGTTAAATTCGCCGGGCGCGGTGGCTCACGCCTGTAATCCCAGCACTTTGGGACTCCCGAGGCGGGCGGATCACAAGGTCAGGAGATCGAGACCACGGTGAAACCCCGTCTTTACTAAAAATACAAAAAACTAGCCGGGCGAGGTGGCGGGCGCCTGTAGTCCAGCTACTCAGGAGGCTGAGGCAGGAGAATGGCGTGAACCCGGGAGGCGGAGCTTGCAGTGAGCCGAGATCGCGGCCACTGCACTCCAGCCTGGGCGACACAGCGAGACTCCCTGTCAAAAAAAAAAAAAAAAAAAACCGTTAAATTCGGCATTTTTGCAGCACCATTTCTTTCTTTGACGTGTCTTTTTTAAAGGACCCGGAGCCGGAAGTGCTTACCTTTTCCCTGCCAGGACCCAGAGGTTACCTCCCATCAGCACCGGCGCTCTCTTGTCCACTGTCTCTTTCTTGGCGCTTCTTTTTCTGGCTCGGTGAGTTTGTTTGTTTTTGGTGTTTTTTTTTTTTTTTTTTTTTTTTTTTTTTTTTTTTTTTTTTTTTTTTTTTGAGACAGGCTGAGGCAGGAGTCTCGCTCTGTCGCCCAGGCTGGAGTGCAGTGGTGCGATCTCAGCTTACTGCAGCCTCCGCTTCCCGGGTTCAAGCGATTCTCCTGCCTCAGCCTGCCAAGTAACTGGGACTACAGGCGCCCGCCACCACGCCTGGCTAATTTTTGTATTTTTAGTAGAGAGTGGGTTTCACTATGTTGGCCAGGCTGGTCTCGAACGCCTGACCTCAAGTGATCCGCCCGCCTCGGCCTCCCAAAGTGCTGGGATTACAGGCGTGAGCCCCCGCGCCCGACCTGGGTGAGTCTTAATCCGGGTGTGTCCCCTGGTAAGGAGGCCTTTCCCACCACTGTGTGTCTGTGGGTATTGTCGGCTTGCTGGAGCGCCTACAGGAACAGAGTGAAGCAGGCAGCCGGGGCGGGGGCGGGGGCGGTGGTTGGGCTTTGCGTCTGTTGACGAAAAGAGTCAAACTGTGTGAAGTATTTGAAGAGACTTATTCTGAGTCCAGTATGAGTGACCATGGCCCGTGACACAGCCCTCAGGAGGTCCTGAGAACATCTGCCCAAGGTGGTTGGGGTGCAGCTTGGTTTTGTACTTTTTTTTTTTTTTTTTTTTTTTTTTTTTTTGAGACGGAGTCTTGCTCTGTAGCCCGGGCTGGAGTGCAGTGGCCGGATCTCAGCTCACTGCAAGCTCCGCCTCCCGGGTTCACGCCATTCTCCTGCCTCAGCCTCCCGAGTAGCTGGGACTACAGGCGCCCGCCACCTCGCCCGGCTAGTTTTTTGTATTTTTTTTTAGTAGAGACGGGGTTTCACCGTGTTAGCCAGGATGGTCTCGATCTCCTGACCTCGTGATCCGCCCGTCTCGGCCTCCCTAAGTGCTGGGATTACAGGCTTGAGCCACCGCGCCCGGCGGTTTTGTACATTTTAAGGAGGTGTGTTGAGGGGGCCTGGGCCAGGCTATTGGTAGATTTGACAATTGGTCGAGTTTGTCCAAAGACCTGGAATCAACAAAAAGGAATGCCTAGGTTCAGAAAAGCGGTTGTGGAGACCAAGATTCTTATTTATGCAGATGAATCCTCCAGGTAGCGGGCTTCAAAGAGACTAGATTGTAGATGTTTCTTATCAGACCTGAAAAGGTGCCATACTCTTAGTGGAGTCTCTCCTGGCTCAGGGAGAAGACCTGGAAAGGGAGAGGGATTCACTACAGAACGTAGATTGTCCCAAGAGACAGCTTTACAGGGCCATGTCAGAATGTGTCAAAGAAATATATTTTTGAGTAAAGTACTTCTGTTTCTTTCAGGGCCTGCAATCTGTCATGTGATGCTATACTAGAGTCAGGTTGAAATTTGGTGTCTTATTGCTACAGTCTGTTTTGTCAGTCTTGGGATCGCTTTTAATGTTAATGCTGGTCAGCTGTGCCTGAATTCCGTAGGGAGAAGGGCATAATGAGGCAAGTTTGACCCCGCATTTGGCCTGAACTAGTTTTTCAGGTTAACTTAGGAATGCCCTTGGCCAAGAGCAAGAGTCCATTCAATTGGGTAGGGGGCTTAGAGTTTAATTTTTGGTTTATACCGTGCTTACTGATGTTGGCCCATGTGCATTCGTTCATTGCCATGGCCTCACGCTCCTTTCCTTCTAGTCTGTGACCCTAGGGCTGCTGTGGTGGGACTGCAAAAAAAAAAAAAAAAGATGGGGTGCAGGTCCGCTCACTCAGTTCTTAACAGAGATTCTGATAGTCAGGATCTCTGGGAATATAAAGATGAAACTTCCCCCTCGCCTTCAAGGATATCATGGGCCAGAAGGCAAAGTCGTTTTGAATACGTGGTTCACTGAGTACCTACTCTGTGCCAATTGATGGCTGCAAAGAGAACAGAAGGGGTGCTGCTGTAGGAAATAAATGAATGGCTCGGAAGACCACACTGAGGATGGTGTGAGTTGATACTGGAAGATCTCCAGGTTTGAGGCATCCTTAGAGGGATATGATGGTTTTGTGTGTGTTGAGGGTGTGGTAGCGCAGCAGCTTCCTGGGGAATTAGAACGTTTTTCTTTATTGACCGTTTACCCTGTGACAGGCACTGCAGGCATTTAGCGCACAGTGTCTTCTTCATTTTACAGGTGAGGAAAAGACGCAAGTTCAAGTAGATGGTCAAGGCCAGTACTACCGGAAGGACCATCTGGGGGTTCGGACACTGGCGGGGTGGGATTTGCTGCCCCTTGCAAATTGAGAGTATCTCGGGGTCAGTTTTGGTTTGCTCAGCTGTTGGCATTCTTTGGGCTCTGAGTGGGTGAGGTGACCCTTGACCTCCTGGGATCGCGTCTGGAGAGTGCCTAGTATTCTGCCAGCTTCGGAAAGGGAGGGAAAGCAAGCCTGGCAGAGGCACCCATTCCATTCCCAGCTTGCTCCGTAGCTGGCGATTGGAAGACACTCTGCGACAGTGTTCAATCCCTGGGTGGGAAAACCTCCTTCCAAGCCTCCTTCCAGGATTCTTCCTCACCTGGGGCTGCTTCTTTCCCAGAAGGCATCATGGCCGCCCTCAGACCCCTTGTGAAGCCCAAGATCGTCAAAAAAAAGAACCAAGAAGTTCATCCGGCACCAGTCAGACCGATATGTCAAAATTAAAGTATATGGCCCTGGAATGGAAATAGGTGTGGGGTGAAGAAAGAAGTTTCCAACAGGCTGTTGGTTTCTGACATCACCTAGTCGGGATTACCTTTGACCAATGAACTGGTTTGTGGAAGAGCTTTCTGTAGAAATACAGGTCTCCCCCAGTGTGCCCTAGTGCTGGTCTCAAGTCTCTTGGTGTATGAAGTGAAATTTAAATGAGAAGGGACACTTGGCTGTTTCGATGTGTTTAGAGGGCTTTGCATTTGTGTTGTGTATTTTGGGTTGCCTTATTGACAGCAGGATCCCTGTTTTATAGACAGGAAAACTCAGAGGTGCTGAGAGCAGTGTCTGCAGCTGTGCTCGCCATCTCAGTATCTACACAGTCCCCTCTTATCCCACTGGTGCCTCCTCCATTGCTTGGGAGTAGGAATGGTGGGGGTGCCTGCATTCCTAATGGCTAAAGCCAAGAGCTCCTGGTTTTTCCCACCAAAAAAGCATGTAAGGAAATAGTGAAGTCCTGTTACCAAAGGCAACTACTGTGTGGCATACTTCCTTTTCATTTGGTTCTTTTTTCCCTCCCCAAAGGAACAGTTGGCACTCTGCACAGACGCTAACCCACCTGTGTGTTATTTCCTTCAGCGTAACTGGCGGAAACCCCGAGGGATTGACAACAGGGTTTGTAGAAGGTTCAAGGGCCAGATCTTGATATGATGTCCAGCATTGGTTATAGGAGCAAAAAAAACCAGAAAGCACATGCTGCCCAGTGGCTTCCGGAAGTTCTTGGTCCACAACGTCAAGCAGCTGGGAGTGCTGCTGATACACAACAAGTGAGTTGGGCTCATCTCTGGTTTCAGGGCTCAGAAGTTTGCATCTGTGTGGGCACTTCTGGCAGGAACTCTGGAAACTCTTGGGATGCATTTTGGGAAGTTGACATTCTCTGAGGGAATCTGAAGTCATTCCTTGCAGGAGTTTAGAGAATTCTTGTTGGGGCCAGGTGTGGTGGCTCATGCCTGTAATCCCAGTACTTTGGGAGGCCAAGGCGGGCAGATCACCTGAGGTCAGGAGTTTGAGATCAACCTGGCCAACTTGGCGAAATGCCATCTCTACTAAAAAGACAATTAGTCAAGCGTGGTGATGTACGCCTGTAGTCTCAGCCACTCGGGAGGCTGAGGTGGGAAAACCGGAAGGAGAGGTTGCAGTGAGCTACGATCGTGCCACTTCACTCCAGCCTGGGCAACAGTGAAACTCCATCTCAAAAAGAAAAAGAGAATGCTGTTGGGGAGTTCAGTGTGTTTCCTTTGTTGGAGAGGGAAGAGACTTTTGTCCTCATAACTCTGGAGACCCAAGACCAGAAAAATGGACTTTGCTTGACACAGTGAACACAGCAGTAATCACCGGTTTTCAATATAATATCTTTTGGCTGTTTCCAGAATGTTGCTTTATTTATGAGGGAATTCGGGGAAGATCAAACATAGGCCTCAGACCTTAAGGCGCCCTTTATGCTTTGGTAAGGGGTATTTTCAGGGGCACAGAGGCATTACAGCCAAATGTGAACTAGAGGGAGAATTAAGAGGAAGACTTTGTGGACAGAGAGTGCTTACACAGAGGTGGAGAGTGCAAAGAGGGGTCACAGGACATTAGTGCTAGGTAGTCTTTATGGTTTGTTTTTAGAGACTCTGTTGCCCAGGCTAGAATGCAGTGGCCATTAACAGCTGTGATGATGGCCTACTGCACCCTTGAACTCCTGGGCTCAACTGATCCTCCTGCTTCGCCCTCCCAAGGTGCTGGGATTACAGACATGAGCCACCACACCTGCACAAGAACAACAGGTTTAAACAACTAGGCAAGCAGAGGCGGCAGGGGCAGTCTGTATGTGTGCAGGGGCAGTCTCTGTGTGCGCAGGCGTAGTCTCCGTGTGTGTGTGTGTGTGTGTGTGTGTGCGTGCGCACAGGGGCAGTCTCTGTGTGCAGGGGCAGTCTCCGTGCATGTGTGCGTGTGTGCAGGGGCAGCCTGTGTATGTGTGTGTACAGGGGCAGTCTGTGTATATATGTGTGTGTGTGCGCGCATGTGTGCAGGGGCTGTCTCTGTGTGTGTGTGTGTGTGTGTGTGTGTGCATGGGCAGTTGTGTGTGTGCATGGCCTCTGCTCAGCTCCTGGGAAGGAGCTTCTGATCCTCTGTCAACATCAAAGGAGCTGGGCCTTGAAAACCTATCTCAGCCTCCCAGTCCGAATGAAGAGCCATCGGACTCTCTTCCTGGGGCATTTGGTTATGTACAGCACTGTCCCAGATTCCCAGAGTGGGTGCTTCAGCTTTGGGCAGCAGTGGGTCCTATCTATGGGAACACCGACAGTGACTCCTTGTGTCAGGCAGGTGGGTGTCAGAGTGTCCTCATTTCATAAACAGGGACATTCAGAGGCCTTTGGCCGTTGCCCAACGTCCTGAGGCCAGAGAGCAGTGGAGTGAGCGTCGTGGTCCACAGGCTGTCCCGCCCACATGCTCAGGATTCAGGGACTCACCGTAGGAAGAGGCGGAGAAGACGAAGGGCTGGCGGCAGTTGATGCAGACGTTGCCCAGGTTGTTGAGCAGCGGGTTGTTGGTGGAGCAGCGGTAGCACAATGGCACCAGTTCCTACAAAACAGCCACGGACTCCCGAGGGGCCAGGCACGTGTCCTCCTCCCCCTGGACTCTGGCTTCGGGCCCCTGGGGCTTAGCTGCCAAGAGGAAAGGCCACCCAGGTGGGCAGGCAGGGAAGGGTGCCAGGCCCCGGGGCCCCATGCTGTGGGGAAGCAGGATAAAGGTTTGCTGAAATACCTAAATCCTGTCACTTAGGTCCCTAAGAGGTGGGCACGATTATTTCCATCTCTCAGATGAGAATAAAGTCTAGGGGGAAGGTGAAGCACCCAGCCCAAGACTCAGCAGCCAGGAAGTAGCCCGGCGCTCTTTCCACCACAGGTGCAGGAATTCTCACAGAAAAGTGGAGGCCAAGATGTGAGAATTCCTCAATGACTGCCCTTTAAAGGAAGAGGTGATTGTGGGGCCTGCTCTGAGCTCTAGACACAGGCAAGCTCCGTGTCTCCCAAGGAACCCAATCACTATCACATTTGCTTTAAATATTTAGAGAAGCACAATTTGTTTCCTTGTCAAAGCCAAGAGGTGGCATGTGATGACATGCTGCCAAATGCTTGGGGCACAGATGGAAACTTTCATGTCAATCCTGACATGGTCACCACAGATCTCGATGGCCTTGACGTGCTCTCCTGCTGAGATGTACATCTCCACGGCGGCTTTGGGCTCCTTGATATTTCTGGCCCAGTCAGCCTGTTTGGTGATTAGCATCTTTGTTTCTTTGGGGTCTCCAGATCCAAGGAAATCCTGAGGAAGCACAACAAACAAAAACACTCTGGATCAGAACTTCCTGTGCCAGCGTTACATCAGGCTTTTCTAGCAGCAAGGGCAGGCTCCACATGGCTGAAGCAGGCAACCAGGAGGCAGGCAGGGCCCGTCCCTGAGGGGCTGAGTAGGGGGAGTCCCAGGTCTCGGGAAGAGTGATCTCAGGCTGCCCTGCAGGTGTTCCTGGGGGATCCTGGGACAGCGTCAAGGACACTGGCCCCCAGTGCTTCCTTCCCATCTCACAAATGGGCATTTGTTCATCGGCTAAACGACACTTTCTAGACTATTTGGGGCCCTGCACATGAAGTCTGCAGGCTCAGGGGTTCATGATCAGGCTGTCTCTCTCTCACATAGTTTGGTAAATACATGATTATTCCTAAACAGCAATGAGACAACCTGGTGCACAATTCCAAATATCGAGACCTGTCACCTTTACTCAGATCTTATGGGTGACACAACATGCTTCAGAGTGGGCTGAGCATGGGTTCCCCTAAACTTACACAAACAAAATGACTTATAGTTTGCCAGCCCTCCATGCCCTCTCTGAATCACCAGCAAACATTCTGTGCCCCGAACTAGGGAATCATTGCATGGTCTTTGCCCCAGTTACTTGCCTGGAACAGAAAATAAGCAAACCTCTCTCTGGTTAGCTGCTTCTCAGCTGAACGGTTAGGGATCCTGTCCTGAGGTCAGGTCTGCAGGGGTGAGGACCTGATCCGACAGTGGGACAGCAGGAGACCATGGGGGGATCTGAGGCAGGGAAGGTGCTCAGGAGAGGACCTGAGAAGGAAGAGACGACTGTGGTCCTGGAGGCTCAGGGGTCAGGCCTAGAGCCTGTGTTCCTTTGGCCTCAGCAAGGGCCCTCTGAAGCGGTATGCCCAGCTTCTCTGGGCTGGCCATAGAATGTGTGAAAAACAGCCTCAGAACATCACCTCTTTTCACGGTAGTTACCCAAAATACACATGTGGGAGTTTGCCAGAGTCGAGGCAGCTTTTAAAGGTGGAGCTTTTCAAAAAGGGAAACTGGGAGCCCTTAGAGCCCAGGTCTATGTTACTGGTAAGAAGTGGTTTGTCTTAGGAATAATGTACCCTGCAGAGAGTGCTTTGTGTCAGCCTCATTGAGAATAAAAAAAGCACTCCTTTCCCCATGATTAACGCTCATGTGTCAGGAAAGTGCAGTCAATGTATGCTAAAAATCCACTTGAACAATTAGCTCGCTTTTTTTCATTTGCTTTCAGGGTAATTGTGCTTTCAGGGTATTAGGTCGGCCTAATATATGATACATTTTAAGAAGGGGAGGAAAGAGCATTGTATACCCTGATGCTGGGATCCAATAGAAGACAGACCTCCTGGCTGGCCTTTGGTTCTCCCAGGAGCTGACACAGGGAAGGGGCTTGGAAAGCAGCCACTGTCCCCGCCTAGTTTGGGCCTTTACAGACACACCTCTCCTTTTGGCAGCTGCTATGGCGCGGATTCTGTACGCTAGCACGAAGCTGGAAACCCTGCCTACCTGGCTGGTGAAGTGAGGGTGGCAGCTGGGGGAAACAGGCATCTTCAAAGGGACTTCAGTGAGTGCTCAGGGGACTAGGGGTGACTGCAGCAAGGGTGAGAGGCTGAGAGGAAGCCATAAGCCTAGGCCAGCTGGCCACTCAGGGAGCTGTGACTTCAATGAAGCTGGGTCTAAAAGCTTCCTTCAAGGCTCAGCAAACTGGGAATTCAAAGACTTTTTGCTTTCCTGAAGCTAAGTTACACGTTATCTGGGGCCATGGCAAAGACTTGGCCCTGAAGTGGACAGAAAGAGGCTGTGCTGAGTGATGAATGAGACTAAACAGTGTTCTCATGCTTGGTGATTTTGATAAGAACATACTACATAAGAGTTAAGAGCATTATAATTCCTTTTATCACCATATAAACGTGTCGTTTATCCGGAAAGCATACAATTGATTTGTAGATGGGAATGTAATTAAGAAAATTTTCTGAAAACCAGATTGAATCTTGAGAAGCAATTTTCAAGTAAACAAAAACATGCCACGTTAATCAGCACTGGATCTCCCCCACCCCACCGCATAATGTGTATGTACATATTTCTCAAATTCAGACTGCAGCACAGCTGCCTCCTTGAGGAGGCTTCAGGGGTTCCTAAGCCTAAATTCTACCTCTAGGGTCTTGATCCCTGAAGGGTTCATCCTGAGTTAAAATTCTGTTATCCCCGGAAGCAGAGATGCACTGACTCTGGTGATCTCAGTATGAATGTGTTATAAAATCTTCTAGGTGTCTGTGGTGGGGCCTGAGGGAGGGTAGGAAAGGTGACGAGGAAAAGGCAGAGGGAGTCTGAACACCCTGCGTCTCAGGTACGGAGTGAATAAATCACTAAGGTGAAAAACAGGCTGGGGCCCAGGAGCTCGTCCAAGTCCTGATGAACAGTAAGTCCTGGGCAACATCACAGGTCACCAACACACCTTAAGCCCCAGGATCAAACATGGTAGAAGAGCACAGCCATCTAGAAAAGCAGAAAAAAGGCCGGGCGTGGTGGCTCACGCCTGTAATCCCATCACTGGGAGGTGGGTGGATCACGAGGTCAGAAGATCAAGACCACTCTGGCTAACACGGTGAAACCCCATCTCTACTAAAAATACAAAAAATTAACCGGGCATGGTGGCGGGCACCTGTAGTCCCAGCTACTCGGGAGGCTGAGGCAGGAGAATGGTGTGAACCCGGGAGGCGGAACTTGGAGTGAGCTGAGATTGCGCCACTGCACTCTAGCCTGGGCGACAGAGCAAGACTCCGTCTCAGAAAAAAAAAAAAAAGCAGAAAAAAGGGAAGATTTTCCATCTTGAACTTGTGAGCTGGAGAATTACCATTAGTAGCCCACTAATAGGTTGTGGCTGATGAGTCACTTCATAACACACTGAGAGCCACTTTTGATACTTCCGGAAAAGGCAGGTTAACAAAGCCCCTCTGTAGAAGGAAGACCCTCATTGCTCAATGCATTCAAGCTTTTTTGAACCTTGCTTAGGCTGAACTGTAAATGTCTTGACTGGTCTGGGCTCCTTAATGCAACTCCTTCCCACAGAAGCCATCAGGAGCCAGGTCCAGGAAGCTCCTCTCCCACACCTGCCTTAAAAGGCCCAGCTCTGCTGGGGAGTAAGGTTCATGGGGGCCATCCCAAGGCAAAGGGGAATCTCCGCCATAACCCACCGCAACCACATGGTAGTCACTCTGCAGCCGGTAGGCGTGAGGCATGCTGCGCTAACACGGGAGGGCGGAGGCTCTGCCTGACTTCCCAGAAGCCCAGTGCGAAGCCCAGGACAATCATCAGGTGCTATGGGAAACTTGGCTGGCAGGCACCATGTCGTCCTGTATGATTGGCAGGACCGGCTCCCGCCTGAAGACACCAATTCTTGGCAGCTTCTGACAAGGATTGAGAGGATTTGTGGGAGACAGCCCTGAAGCACTAAGCCCTCAAATCAGTGAAGGGATTGTGCTGGCGCAGACCCACAGCCATCCAGCTCCGTCGCTGATGAAGGTCTGAACTGCTATACTCTGCCCCTTTGGTGTCAGTGTTAAAGGTCGGTTTTAGGTGAGTTTCAACCAGTGACTGTAGATGGGTCCTTTGTTTACTTACCAGTTTCCCCACATCCTTTCTGAGACCATTGCTAGTTTTTGTCTGCACCAGTCTCGGAAAACAACTTGGATGCCACGGGTGAGAACACTAGTGGGCTCCAAGCCAGAGTCTGGGCCTGGAATGGGGTGGGTTACCTCGGCATACTCAAACATGCAGAGGTCGGCGTACATTTCTGTTGGGGTGATCAGACCCAACACCAGGTCGTGGGGGCGATGAAGTCCAACGGAGTCAAAGGAATGAGAAAGAGTTTGAGAGAGAAAGTGGGACCAGGGGGCCATCACAAGTGTGGAGGCTGGGAAGGCCACGAGCTCTGGGAGCCCACACTATTTATTGTATTTATTGTTGCTCAAACAAAGAAACAGGTGGTGAGGATGTGGGAGTTGAAAGGAAATGGTGTATCAAGTGAATGAGAAACATATGGCTGCTTGAGATAATAGGAATGCTAGAAGCAAGGAGCCAGCAAGTCTAGCAGACATGCAACCCTGCCTCAGCTTCTCTCCTAACACTCAGCTTTTCTTCCAACACATTTCAAGCTTCCCGCTCCTCTTGTACAGTTTGGTGGCCTCATGGAACTTCCGCTGGTAGGAAAACACATCTGCCAGAAACAGGTCATTGTTGGTCTCTCCCCGCTTCTTCCTCTCCTGGAAAAATTAGAAGCACAGGAAATGGCCTCTGCAGCCATGGGCAGGAAGCAGCCTTTACAAAGGTTAGATGTGGCTATTTCAAGTGAGGCCCCTGGACCTTCCTACTGGAACCTGGGCTTGGCTCCTGGCTGTTGTCTCTCCCCCAGGTTCCCGCTGGGAATGCTTGACAACAAAAGCAGGTTTTTACCAGACAAGCAAAGATCAAAAAAAGATGCAAACCTTTGTTTGTTTAATGGAAATTCCTCAGGGTTGCTTTCCTGTGTATTCCAAGGCTATGACGGAATAGTTTGAATAGTGCATGCTCTGACTTATCCATGACCCCTAAGCTCCAGAGATCTCCCAAATCTGCAAGCCCTGTTTGGCAGAGTTGTGGCTCATCCTTTGGCAGAGTTGTGGCTCATGGGGATGACAGAGCAGGAGAATGTTTAGGGTTTCTGCCCAAGAGGGAGACCAATAAAATAGGATGACAAGTCTCACTATGTCCCTACTTTTAAAGAGAAAGTAAGAAATCCCGCATGCTGAACATCCACTAGGTTCTGGGTATATACTTTACACACACATGGCCCCTTGTGACACACACATGGTCACATTCCTCTCAGTGACCCTCAGGGTAGGTCTTACTACCCAAGTATTAGAGTGAAGGATGCTGAGACTCAAGAAGAGGAACAGGTCAGGGTCAGACAGAGCTGGAATTTGGATGCAGTTCTGTCTGACTCCAGATATTCCTTGTATCACATAACAGTCTTCTGAAGCAAGTGATGTCCCCAACAACACACACACACACACACACACACACACACTTAGCACAGCTGAGGATAAAGCTTCTTCCTTCTGTGTCAGGGAACATTCACTTGTCTACAGCTCGAGTATTTGTAAACACTCAGTAGCACTCAAACCCTGAGCCCTAGCAGTTTCCTTGTGCTTGTTTTCTAGCAAGAGTAGCATACAGAGGATGATGAGACATTGAATCAAACTCTTAGACAAGCTGGTGAAAGTTTTAAGGACTGAAGGCAACATACTTCCACACTTGACAGAAATCATCTTTCAAAAATCCTGCACGTAGTTCAGGCTTATGAAACAAACTAATTCATAATAGTTGGAAATGAATTAAAAGCTTGCTGTGAGATAAAAGATAGATTTCGTGGCTCAAGCCTGTAATCCCAGCACTTTGGGAGGCCGAGATGGGTGGATCACGAGGTCAGGAGATCCAGACCATCCTGGCTAACACGGTGAAACCCTGTCTCTACTAAAAATACAAAAAAATTAGCCGGGCGCGATGGCGGGCACCTGTAATCCCAGCTACTCGGGAGGCTGAGGCAGGAGAATGGCATGAACCTGGGAGGCGGAGCTTGCAGTGAGCCGAGATAGTGCCACTGCACTCCAGCCTGGGCGACAGAGCAAGACCCCGCCTCAAAAAAAAAAAAAAAAAAAAAAAGATAGATTTCGGCTGGACCTGATGACTCATGCCTGTGATCCCTACACTTTAGGAGGCCGCGGCAGGAGGGTCACCTGAGCCCAGGAATTCAAGACCAGCCTGGTCAACCTAGCAGACTCTATCTCTGCAAAAAAACCCAAAAAAACCTCCCCAAGGCCGGGCGCGGTGGCTCAAGCCTGTAATCCCAGCACTTTGGGAGGCCGAGACGGGCGGATCATGAGGTCAGGAGATCGAGACCATCCTGGCGAACACGGTGAAACCCCGTCTCTACTAAAAATACAAAAAATTAGCCGGGCGAGGTGGCGGGCGCCTGTAGTCCCAGCTACTCGGGAGGCTGAGGCAGGAGAATGGCGTGAACCCGGGAGGCGGAGCTTGCAGTGAGCTGAGATCCGGCCACTGCACTCCAGCCTGGGAGACAGAGCGAGACTCCGTCTCAAAAAAAACAAAAGGGAGGCTGAGGCAGGAGAATGGCTGCAACCCGGGAGGGGCGGAGCTGCAGAGCGAGATCCGGCCACTGGCCCAAGCCTGAGACAGATGACTCCACCACACCCGAAATTTGCGTTTCGAACCTAAAAAACAAACCTCCCCAAAAAAAAAAAAAAAAAAAAAAAAAAACCTCCCCAAAAAAAGGTCTTACTAGGCATGAGAATGAGTCCATATCCATTCTAGGCCCCAGGATATCACCGTGATGAATAGAAACGATCTGTAGCACTCAAGCAGGTGCCTGTCAACATGGGCAGGTTCTTCCCCCCCGTCAGCAGGACAAGAACATCTCCCCTATCCAAAAGGCACCCACTGAGCATCCGCAGTTCTCTGGAATTATGTTGAGCACCCAGATATGGGCAACTAAGCCCCGAGCAGTCGATGTGGGGTGCACTTGAAGGCACTTCATTGTTTTTTAAGAGACATTCTTAAGAGTTTAACCCATTTCCCAGCTCATAGCACACGAGGCGAGGCAGGCATTTTGACCTTGGTAAGACCTGACAAATGACAATAGTTGGACCCCATGGCCGTCAGTTACTTTTGTAGAGAGGAAAATTATGTTCCTTGCCTTCAGTGAAGACCCCTAGATCCAGGCCAGTGGATTTACAAGTGAGAGTCAGCAGCACTGGGCATTTTGGGCAATGGCTCCGAACAAGCCCTTTACCCCAGAACATACAGATGCCCCTTATGACACGTGGGTGGGGAGGGTACTTGGCAGAGAGAGCATGAGCTTAGGAGACAAGACTGTATTTGAATTCCACTGAGCTTTTGGCTGTGGACCCATGGGGACGTGGCATCGTCTCGCTGAGCCTTAGTTTCCTCCCACATGGAATAGGGAGAGCAACAGTACCTGCCTCATTCAGTTAACGTGAGGATCTAGAGTAGCATTAACATAAATCACGTGTGGGGCACAGAGCAGCTTATGTTATGAGGTTTAGTAGGCTGTGAGCTCCTGTCGGCCTCTCTCAGCTCTGTGCCCACTGAGCTTGGCACAAGGGTTGGCCCATGACAGGTGTTTATTATGTGGAAATGAATGAGAGAGACAAGACATTTGCGGATTTCCTCACTTTCCAACCAGGAATTCAAATGTGTCTCACATTCCTATACCCTTACAATAAATCTGTTCAGGAGAAAAAATGTGTACGCCTTGTAACAGACAGCCAGACAGCGCTGAGATACACAGAAATTAAGAATAGTGTCTAAGGCCGGGTATGGTAGCTCAAGTCTGTAATGCTAGTACTTTGGGAGGCTGAAGTGAGGTAATTGCTTGAGCCCAGGAATCTGAAACCAAACTGGGCTACATGGCAAAACCCTGACTCTACAAAAAAATTAACCAGGCGTGGTGGTGCGCACACGTGGTCCCAGCTACTTGGGAGGCTGAGGTGTGAGGATTGCTTGATCCCAGGAGGTCTAGGCTTCAGTGAGCCATGATTGTGCCACTGCACCCTGGCCTGGGGGACAAAGCGAGACCCTGTCTCAAAAATAAATAAATAAATAGAATGGTGCCTACCACCACCCAGCGCCTAGTTTCCTTTGCCCACTGCAGGCCTATTGGGTTTGGATGACAAGGCCAATACTCTCAGCCAGGAACAGCGGGGCTGGGGGTTGCTCCAGAGCTCTGGGATGCTCAGTTCAGACTGTGGGCCTTGCTTCCCAGGTGCATTTCTGGGAGTGGAGCTCAGCTCGTGCATTTGGGAAACCCCTCAACACTATCAGATTACTGGAGTCTGAGAGGATGGTGACTGACTATTCGCCACCATGAGGATACAAACCATTTCCTGAGAACCTACTGAATCCTCACAGCAGCCTGTGAGGTAGGTCCAATCTCTTTTCACAAACAAGAAACCCAACCCTTGAGAGATCGGGGACCCATCTGCCTCGGTCAGCTATAATGTGACAGCTCACACTGCCCACTGCTGTCTCCCCCTGTGTGGCCACTCTGCCCCTGGAGCGCGGCTGTGACCCGGATGCCCAGTCGCCAGTGAGCTCTGCTCCCGTGTCCTCAGGGCTTTTGCCTGCTGATATGGTTTGGCCATGTCCCCACCCAAATCTCATCTTGAATTCCCATGTGTTGGGGGAGGGACCCAGTGGGAGGTAATTGAATCAGAGGGGCAAGTCTTTCCCATGCTGTTCTCATGATAGTAAATAAATCTCACGAGATCTGATAGTTTTAAAAAGAGGAGTCCCTCTGCACAAGCTCTCTTTGTCTGCTGCCATCCATATAAGCAGTGACTTGCACTTCCTTGCCTTCTGCCATGATTGTGAGGCTTCCTTAGCCATGTGGAACTGCAAGTCTAATTAGACCTCTTTCTTGTGTAAATTGCCCAGTCTCGCGTACATTTTTTCCCGCAGTGTGAAAATGAACTAATACACCTGCCACAAGGGCTGCCCCTGAACCCCGAACCCCAAGTTCACTTTCTTGACAAATAAGAATGCTTCAACTTTTACCTCAATGCTGCTGATGAGGTCTTGTACTCTGATGAAGGCCTGTGGGGAAGAAATAAAGAATAAAACCAGCTTGCCTTCTTGGCTTCAAAAGTGGGTGATTGGCTGGGGATTGGGAAGTCAAGCTCACCTAGACAGTGAGCCACAGAGGAGAGGAAGGGAGCAAGCAGGGATTAATCATCACGTGTGCAGGAGGTTATACCACTCAGCGAGGCATGGCTTTATCCCCGAAATTGGAACATGCAAAGAACAGCAAAGACATCTCGGTTGCATCAGTCATTTTGGGATCAGGTAAAACAAAACCATGATGCCACAGTCTGTGGTGGTGCCTCCTTGGGAGACTCTCGACCCAAAGAAGAACAAGCTGGTCTGACCCTCTGGCGGGGCAGGCAGTATCACAGCAGGAGAGGGTGAGATGCATGGACTGATGAGAGACTGCCTGGCACATCTTGGTGACATGGGTAGAATGCAGGGGACAGCTATGCCTACCCAGTGTTGCCACAGACACAGGGGACCCAGAGGCCCTGGTACTGCAGAGGGAACGGAGGAGGAGAAAGCTGAGAGGGCATAAAGACAGATTCTGGAAGAAGGTGGAGGGGTAGGGAATGAATCCCACCAAGTCCATGGAAGGCAAACTCTTATGTAAATCCTAAAATTGCAGCCCTTGCCAGAGACTTTTAACTCATGGACCTCTAGAAGTTTCTGAGGAACAAGCAGACTGGTGTTGGCTAAGCCAGTTTTGCTGCTTTCAGATTCTGCCCAGGATTTGGAGGAGCATGAGCCACCAGGTCAGGCTGCTTTCAGGTGGCTTTGCTGTCACCATTTCCACCAGCTGTGCTTGCTTACATTGCCCCATTCAAAATGGGCTGACCTGTGCCTAGAGGAGGCAGCAGCTCTGGAGCCCTTTGAACCAAACATGCAGAGCAATCCTGACCACTTGCAGCCTCCACTCAGCAGCACGGCACCCTCCCTCCTGAAAAGATCTCGGGAGATAAGCGAGTCCCCGGCCTCTGGCTGCCTTGCAGGTGACCACAACGCAGCTTCATCTTTTCATCCCACAGGGCCAGGCTTCCTGTCAGAGACTGGGGACCCAGGGAGAAACATGTCCCGGCCCCTGTCCCCCTCCACAATTCAGAGGCCCACATTCTAACCGGGGAGGCTGGCCAATTAAACAGATCATGACATCTAGAGCTAAGAGCTCTCCGACTATGAACCAGATGCTTGGAGAACACAGATGAATGGTCTGAGCATGAGCAGGGGCGGGAGGCAGCGTTAAGTGAGGCATCAGAGTCAGAACATGGCAAATAAGTGTTTGTGGAGAGGAAAAAACCTTTCTTCTTTCTACGAAGAAAAGGGCAATGTGGGCATCACATGGGCCAAGGAACAGAGGGGTAGCAGTAGCTGTTGTGCCAAGCGGCAGGTCTTATATGCTACCCTCTAGATCTGGGTTTCCTTAAAGCAACTTGAGAGGACAACCCTGCAAAGCCTGGCACGGTGGCCGAGAGGGAAAGGAGCATTCGAGGTCTCAGTCCTTGCTCTGAGCCTACTTCTCTGCTTCTGGGCTCCAGCCATCTTTGTGGAAAGGGGCCTGCTACTGACACCCTCTCAAGGGTCTTTCTAGCTCTAGGTCGGCTGTGCTGGGGTCTAGGATTTGCCCACTGAGAAATCTGTTTCTGAGTTCCTTCAGCCTGATGCATCCTGCAGTGTCACGGCTCCTGGTCAGAGTGGTCAGAAGGCCCCTGAATGCACTCAGTAGAGGGAAGCCTGGGAACAGGGAGGCACCTGCAGCTCTACTCAGGTCCTGGCCGGAACTCAGCAGCTCTTCTCTGCCATCTAGTGGGGATGGCAGTCCATCACTGGGGACCACCCTGTGCAAACTGGTGAGCCTCAGTGCCTGTCCCAGAGGAAAGAAAGGCAGGGGATACCGGATTTAGATGAAATAGCAACTCCTAGCCTATTGTCAACATCGTCTGGTTTTTTCAAAACATATCGTACTGATTTTCTTTGTTTTTGACACAGAATCTTGCTCTGTCACCAAGGCTGGAGTGCAGTGACATGATCTTGGCTCACTGTAGCCTCTGTCTCCCTGGTTCAAGTAATTCTTCTGCCTCAGCCTCCCAAGTAGCTGGGACTACAGGCATCCGCCACCACACCCAGCTAATTTTTGTATTTTTTTTAGTAGAGTCAGAGTTTTACCATGTTGGCCAGGCTGGTCTTGAACTCCTGACCTCAACTGATCTGCCTGCCTTGGCCTCCCAAAGAACTGGGATTACAGGCATGAGGCACTGTGCCTGTCCCATGTTGTACTTAACAGACATTTACTATATACAGTTATTTTTTAATTTAAATAAAATCAATGAACAGTGTTATTTTTAAAATCTTGTGGCTTTTTTTTTTTTTTTTTTGAGACAGAGTCTTACTCCAGCCCAGGCTGGAGTGCAGTGGCCAGATCTCAGCTCACTGCAAGCTCCGCCTCCCAGGTTTATGCCATTCTCCTACCTCAGCCTCCCGAGGAGCTGGGACTACAGGCGCCCGCCACCTTGCCCGGCGAGTTTTTTGTATTTTTAATAGAGACGGGGTTTCACCGTCTTAGCCAGGATGGTCTCTATCTCCTGACCTCGTGATCCGCCCGTCTCGGCCTCCCAAAGTGCCGGTATTACAGGCTTGAGCCACCACGCCCGGCCAATCTTGTGGCTTTAATACACCCTTTCTATTCTCAGGGAGTGTTTTGGGGATACAGGCTGGGGAGTTAAATAAATGAATGAATAAACTTAGTTGTTATACATTCAAGCATTTGTTGAGCACCAGCGTGTCTAAGGCAGTGCTAGAAAGTGTGCAGTGTTATTAAGATGAGATACATGTTTAGTTCCTGGGTGTAAGGAAGTGACAATCTAGAGGGAAGATTTCTAATTTAATTCCATGCCCAAAACAAACAACACCTATTTTAGGGATTTGTTGTCTTCCTCCCTGCTGGCATTTCTGGGTGGGGCAGGAGAGGGAAGCTCTTTCCATGGAGATGCCTCCTCCCTCCTCTGACTCTTACAGCCTCCTCCATCTCCACTTTCCTACACTGAGGACATCTAAAAATATAATCTAAATCATTGTGTTTTGTTTGTTTGTTTGTTTGTTTGTTTGTTTTGAGACGGAGTCTGGCTCTGTCGCCCAGGCTGGAGTGCAGTGGCCGGATCTCAGCTCACTGCAAGCTCCGCCTCCCGGGTTTACGCCATTCTCCTGCCTCAGCCTCCGGAGTAGCTGGGACTACAGGCGCCCGCCACCTCGCCCGGCTAGTTTTTTGTATTTTTAGTAGAGACGGGGTTTCACCGTGTTCGCCAGGATGGTCTCGATCTCCTGACCTCATGATCCGCCCGTCTCGGCCTCCCAAAGTGCTGGGATTACAGGCTTGAGCCACCGCGCCCGGCCTATGTTTGTTTTTGAGACGAGTCTCGCTCTGTCGCCCAGGCTGGAGTGCAGTGGCGGGATCTCATCTCACTGCAAGCTCCGCCTCCCGGGTTCACGCCATTCTCCTGCCTTAGCCTCCCGAGTAGCTGGACTACAGGCACCCGCTACCTCGCCCGGCTAGTTTTTTGTATTTTTTAGTAGAGACGGGGTTTCACCATGTTAGCCAGGAGATGGTCTCAATCTCCTGACCTCGTGATCCGCCCGTCTTCGGCCTCCCAAAGTGCTGGGATTACAGGCTTGAGCCACTGCGCCCGGCTAAATCATTGTTACACAACGATCACTTCCCTTGTTTAGTAATGGCTGGCACCTGCACAACCATCCCTGCTTTAAATTCCCCTTTACAGCATCTCGGTTAAGCCTCATGACTGCAGCAGGCGTTCTCACCACCCTCATTTCAGAACGGGGAGGACTGGGGCTCTGAGGCACTGTGCCTGTCCCATGTTGTACTTAATAGACCTTTACTATATACAATTATTTTGTAATTTAAATAAAATCAATGAACAGTGTTATTTTTAAAATCTTGTGGCTTTAATATACCCTTTCTATTCTCAGGGAGTGTTTTGGGGATACAGGCTGGGGAGTTAAATAAATGAATGAATAAACTTAGTTGTTATCCAGGCTGGCCTGAGGTCCCAGAGCCCTTTACGTGGCACAGCTGGTTCTCAGCCAGGCTTCTTAGTCCCGGTCTGGTCCAGTCTCCTCTCTCTTCATGCCTACAAGTCTTGACCTAACCCAAGGCGGGCATCACATCCCTCTTTGCCACTCCTTCAGTATCAGCCCAGTAGTATGCACAAAATGAGCAGCTCGTTAATTGACTGTGGGGAGATAAAGAGGGAAGGGGTAGGAGAGAGGGGTTTGGAAGCCATTCCTTCCTCCATCTCAGGTTCTAGATGGAAACACAGCTCAGGAACATACATGGGCTTTTCCTTATGTGCAGAAAGGGGCCAGATGTTTTCAGCCATCTCTCTAGCTTTCATAGACTAGGCCAGGAAAGGACACAACGAATCAAGTCCATGAATCCTGCCATGAAGGTATGTGGGAAGTGCCCACATTGCTGTCAGAATCAGAGACCTTGACCTTAGTTGGCAGATGCTAAGAAAAGCAGCATTGTGTGCAGCATCATGGCCAGTGATTACACCGATAATAAAAGCCGCCATTTACGGAATGCCTATGATGTGCCAGGCTACTACCAGGTGCTTCCCATAGATGACAGCTAATAAGAGTGACAGCCAGAATCTGAGATGCTGCTCCTGGATCAGGCTTTACAGGAACCTTCCCATTCAATCTGCAAAGCTTTGTAAGGATGGGGCCTGTCATCACCCTACATCTATAGAGAAGCAATCTCAGAAAGGGTGTCACCTACCCAGGCCCACAGTGAGGAAGTGGTTGAGCTTAGATCTAAGCCCAGGTCAGCCTAACTCCAGAGGCTGCTGCAGTCTGTGGGCTTGCTGTGCCAGCTGGGTCCCCATCTGCCTTCTTAAGGGACCCCACAAGGACCAAACTCCAGCTTCTGCTGGCTAGATGCTTACCTTCTTTGCTGTTTCAAAATCTAAACCTTCTAGAGCTTCCATGGCCAGTTCACGCCAATCAGTGTCGGTGACAACCAAGCACGCAATCTGGTAGGCTTCCTTGAACAGTTTCCTATCCAGGTACTGGTACATGGGAGCAGACTGCAGGATTTCATCAGGGGTAAAAAAGAAGACTGTTTTCAGAGCCATGGAAAGAGCCAGATTCATACAGAGCCTGCCTCCGGATGCGTGGGACAATTACCCACGCCTGGGGAGCAGCCCTGCAGCCGTCAATCAGCACCCTGCCCAGCCTGCCCAGCCCACTCTGTGTGCTCCATTCTGCACCCCTCTCATGGCTGGGCCACTGTGCTCCACAGCACAAACTCTCTGCCCATCCTCCCCTCCTTCCCACCTGTGGGCCTGCCTCACCATAGGATGTCATCCTCGCCTGGAATGCCTTTGCCCCTCCCCACTCTCCCTCTGGAAAATACCTAGTTGGCTTTCAAGGCCCTATTGAAATGTCACTTCTTCTGGAGAGTCCGCCCAAGCCCCTCAAGCCCCCACCTCAGGTGAAGGAGTCTCAGCTTCCTCTGCCCTTTGTCCAGATCTCGGGTTGTGATGCAGTTACAGGCCTGTTCCCACAGCAAGGCCGTGCACAGCCCGTGGGCAGTGGTTGGTTGTACCAGCCTCCCTTGGCAGGCCCCCAGGCTATATTTGCTGACAGAATGAGTTCCTGGGAGGAAGGGGTCTGGGATGGCCTCTTCTTCCAGGGACTGAATCCAAGAAAGGTAAATGATTTGCTCCAAGTTATCCTGGAAGCCTCTGGAAACAAGTCTCCTGCTCCCTGCACTGGGACCAACGCCCTCGTACAAGATGGGGTTGCCTTGCTGTGAATGCCCATGAATAGTTCCTAACGACTTCTCTTTCTTAGGTTTATAAAGGGCTTTTGGCTGTCCCCATAGCCCTGTGCAGTAGGTATTATTTCTCCCTGGCTACAGCCCAGGAGACCGAGACTCAGAGAGGACAACTGACCTGTCCCAGCAAATAGCTGGCAATAGCCAGAGGTGACTGGACTCCAGGTTCTGTGCCCCTTCCTGCCAGGTATGTGGTCGTGTGTATATGTGCATATGTGTGTATGTGTTACCAGTGGAGAGTCTTGACCACAAGCCATCAGGTTCTTGGTGTTTTCAACAAAGAGCTAAACAAAATACACAAAGCCATGAAGGAACGAAGCAACAAAAGCACAGATTTGTTGAAACAAAAGTACACTCCACAGAGTGACAGCAGGCTTGAGGAAGAGGCTCAAGAGCAGCAGTTGCAAAATCTTCTAGGGTTTGAGTAACCTGCAGAGGTTTCCCATTGGTTACTTTGTTATACCCTATGTAAATGAAGGAGTGGTCCACAATCATTCTGATTGGTTGCAGAAGGGGACCAATCAGAGGTACTTTTCATTTTTTATCTGCTATGCAGTGCAAAGGGAGCCTCTGATCCTTTTGTTACTTCGGTGTGGAGAGGTGAGGTTTTCCTTTTGATTCAGTTCTAGGAAGTCAGCATGAATCAGCCTTAGGTTTCCTCCCTCCAGACCCTATTCTCCTGCGTCATGCGGGAACAAGAACCAGTCTGAGTTTGGCTAGGATGTCTTTAACAAGGAAGGGCCTTGCCCTTGTTTTAGGCCAGCCAGTGTGCTTCAGGGCCTGCATCTCTCCTGGCTTCCTGGGCAGGAAAGAGCAGTCACCCAGGACCTCTGTGCTAATGGTTCCCAAATGTGGATGTGGAAGTGCTGTTTTCTCTGTTTGGGGCCTTTATGTTTGAAATTTCCAGTCCCATTTTTTAGTTTTAGTGTTGAAGGCAAGTTTTTTCTTTTTAAGCTTGTGTAAACCAAAAGTAAAAGTCTACGCCCTCCATGCCTCCCTTGAATGAACCCCTCCCCTTGGAGAAGGGGGATTCCTAAAAAACTAGTTCCAACCATCATGGGCATAAGGGGTCAGACATGCCTCATTTTACCCTCCTCCCTTTGGAGTTTAGACACAATGGACCAATATTAACAAGAAAACTGGGGTCTCAAGACTGACAAAACAGACTCTGTAGCAATGAGGCAGGATAGTATCTAGTCTGGAGTCAGGGAACTTAAGGCCAATTCATGCTGAATCAAGGAAAAACACCAAGGTCTGGGTGGAAGCAGGGAGTCTGAGGCCAATTTGTGCTGACTTCCCAAAGCTGGATCAAAAGGGAAACATCTGGGTCTGGAGGCACTGGCCCTAAGGCCAATTAATGCCAACTTCCTGAAGCTAAACCGAAAGGAAAAACCCAGCTCCCCATGCCTAAGTAGCAAAGGGTCAAAGGTTACTCTTTCTACAATCCTCCCTGTTCCACTGTGGCTTAGACAAAAAGGGAGAGTGGCTTAGAGTGGCCAGGGCCAAGCAGGGACCATCCCTTCATCTGCCTAGAGTGCCATTCACCTCAGTCTTTACTTAGCCACAGACCAAATCCTTCAACTATATAAGGGGTAACTGATAGGAACCTCAAAAGGAGTACTTGAAACCCAGAAAACTTTGTAATCAGACCCTTGAGCTGCTTGGGCCCACTCCCACCCTGTGGAGTACTTTCTCTCTTTTATAAATCCCTGATTTTGCTACTTCAATCCTGTGTTTCAGTCCTTTGTTACTTAGTGTGTTTTGTCCAATTTTTTGTTCAAAACACCAAGAACCTGGACAACTTACACTCAAAGCCCTCCTTCCAGTAACAGCAATAGAACACTGTATTTCAACTTGACTCCAATATAACATTGATGGCAGTGGCTACTCCAGATCACTGAGTTTTGGACAATCAAATGTAGCCAGCTGTTCTACTGTAGCTCCCAGCTGCAGCAGGGAGACGTGGCTAGGGCTGCACGCTCCATGAAGCCCTTCCAAGTTAGGGTGGGAGCTCCCCAGGTGCCACTGCAGCTGCCCAAACCATTGGGTTGCAGACCTGGGCCTCCCAGTCCACAGAGCAGGCAGGAGCCCTGCCCTTTGGGGCAGGGCTGTAGCTGCCCAACTTGCGGCTGCAGGTCTGAGCCTCCCTGTGCTCTTGGAAGGCCAGGAGCAAGCAGGATCCCTGCCTTCCTGGGCACAACTGTAGCTGTCCAAACCATGGCTGCAGACTCAGGCACCCCTGCACTCTTGGAAGCCTGGAAGGTCCCCCTGTCCTTGCCAGCTCAGCAGTGCCTGCTCCCATTGCCTGGCTTCTCCCTGCTGTTGGTGCCCACTCCAATCTTGGAGGAATGTTGGGGCCAAGCTCTGGTGTCATGAATGGCAGCAGGAGGCAGACAGATTCCTGGATGGAAGGGGGCAGGTCCCCAGTGAGGCCCCACCTTCAGGCCAGGGAGGGTCTGAAGGCTGGGAGCCAAGCTGCCAGTCCCAAGGACCAGACTGGGAACTTGTGGTGCCATTTCCAGGCCCACCCAAGTACCAGTCGGCATACACTTTCTCCCCTCTGAGGCCCATAAAAACCCTGGGCTCAGCCAGAGCTAAGCAGACTACAGGATGACCAGCTGCAGAGAAGAGCTACCTTTTCTGCTGAGAGCTTCACAGACCTGCAGAGATGTTGGGACTACCAACTTCAGAGAGGAGCAACCCACTCCAGGGCCTCCTCTCTGCTAGGAGTTGGGCAGATGTCGGGATGACCAGTAGAGAGAGGAGCTACCCTCTCCAGGGGCTCCAATCTGCTGAGAGCTTCAGAGACAATGAGATGACCTGTCTGCAGAGAGGAGCCACCCTCTCTAGTGCCTCCTCTCTGCTGAGAGCTGAATACTCCACAGGACCACCTGCCTACAGAGAGGAGCTACCCTTGTGGGTCTGCTCTGAGCTGTTCTAACACTCAATAAAGCTCCTCTTCATCTTGCTCACCCTCCACTTGTCTGCGTACCTCATTCTTCCTGGACACAGGGCAAGAACTCAGGCAAAGGCGCCACTGGCCACAGAAGTTTCTGGCCAGAAAGACGACACCCCAGAGATCCCATAACAGCATCGTGCAACATTAGGCCCTGAAGGAAATAAAAGTATTTTACCCCAAAATATATTTTGTTGACATATTTTGAAATGGGCCTGCAAAGCTTTCTCTTGTGCAGGGAAATGTGCATTCTGTAGAGAATCTCCTTCTCTTACTAGGTCTTTTCTGGAGAGTTTTGACACTTTTAAGGTCAGACAAGAGATATTTGCCATCTGTTCTCACTGAAGCTTGCTACCTGGAGGCTTCATCCACATGGAAAGAACCTGGGCTTGGCTGGGCACTGTGGCTTATGCCTGTAGTCTCAGCACTTTGGGAGGCCGAGGTGGGTGGATCATGAGGTCGAGAGATCGAGATTATCCTGGCTAACACGGTGAAACCCCGTCTCTACTGAAAATACAAAAAATTAGCTGAGTGTGGTGGCAGGCACCTATAGTCCCAGCTACTCAGGAGGCTGGGGCAGGAAAATGGCGTGAACCTGGGAGACAGAGCTTGCAGTGAGCTGAAATCGCATCACTGCACTCCAGCCTGGGCGACAGAGCGAGACTCCATCTCAAAAAAAAAAAAAAAAAAAAAAAAGAACCTGAGCTTAAGCTCCAGCTTACTCTTTCAACCAATTGCCAATCAGGAAATCTTTGATCCACCTGTGACCTGTGAGTCCTCTCCACTCCCACTCCCACCCCTGCGTCTGAAATGTCCATCTTTCTGGGGCTGAAGTAATGTATACTTTACATGTATCAATTTGTGTCTTTGCCTGTATATTTTGTCTCCCTAAAATGTATAAAACCAAGCTGGGGCCGTTCGCGGTGGCTCACGCCTGTAATCCCAACACTTTGGGAGGCCAAGGTGGGCAGATCACAAGGTCAGGAGATCGAGACCATCCTGGCTAACATGGTGAAACTCTGTCTCTACTAAAAATACAAAAAATTAGCCGGGCATGGTGGCGGGTGCCTATAGTCCCAGCTACTTGGGAGGCTGAGGCAGGAGAATGGCGTGAACCTGGCAGGCAGAGCTTGCAGTGAGCCGAGATTGCACCACTGCACTCCAGCCTGGATGACAGAGCGAGACTCCATCTCAAACAAACAAAAAGCAAGCTGTAACCCAGCCACCTTGGGCACATGTTCTTAG